GTTGGTTGTCCTAAATGATGATGTTGTTGTTGTTGTTGTTGTTGTTGATTATTTGTAATTATATGATGATTAATGTGGCCAAGTTGTTGCTGTTGTTGATTTGTTGCTTGTAATGTAATTGGATGACCACCAATACTAGTACCGGTAATAGTTGTACCTGTTGGTAATATACCAATACCGCTTACAGTTACAGTACCACCACTAGTACTAATTAATTGTGATTGATTTAATGATTGCATTTTTGTTTCGTTTGTTAATCTTATTGCACAATCAAATCAAATCGAATTGATGAACATGGAATTTATGATCTGATCAGATGATGATGATGATGATTATCGAGGTAGAAATTATGACTAATTTTCTGTTTGAAATATAATAAACAAGAAAAAAAACATGATAAGCAAATAAGCATCAGACAAACAAACAAACAAAACAAACACGTGTTTGTTTTGAAGGTTTCTTCCTTATTGGTCAATTGGGAAAAAACCTCCAAAAACAAAACAAAAAAAACACGTGCATAATTTAAAGTGAATGTAGAAAAGACTACTTTTGTTTTGTTTCCCTATATAATATCCATTCATTCATTTATCAACCACTTGTTGTTGTTGTCAACAAGGAAAACTCTATACATAAAATTCTATATATAAAAAAAAACGATGATGATAATATTGATGATGATGATGGTGGTAAAATTTCACCGATCATCATCATCATCATTCTGCGGTTATATATAAGAGTTTCTGATGATGATCGCATATACATATAGTAACTATATGATGATTATGATGATTAGTGGTGATTTCAATTCAAAGTTCGTCGACTTATACTTTTTTGTTTTGGTTAACACTGCGTTTACACTTTGGCCACCAGAAAAAACTGACAACTGATGATGATGATCATTGTCTTATATATAAAAAGACCATCGAAACATTGAAAGATTTATCAGTATATATCACATGTTGTTGTTGTTGTTGTTCGATGATATTTTCATTCATAAATTTT